TGGGCTTAGTAACGAGAGAATTCCTAAAAGGTTAATATGTGCGGTGCCGAATGGTAAGCGTCCGAGGGGTAGACCGAAGCGAAGGTGGGAAGATTGCATTAAAGCCGATCTGAAGGGACTGGGTTTGGACGGCGAACGGTGGAGGGAGGTGTGTAACAAGCGATTGATGGTGTCGGCATCGAACCTTCGGGTTCGCTAAGCCTTATTATTATTATATTACATACTATTTTTAAATTAATGTATATAATGTTAGAATTTTTATAAGTTAGTTTTTGGCTAGATTTGTGTTTTCTTTTGTATTAATTCATCATTGTTATTCTAAGGGGACTTAGTCCCAGAATGAAGTTCAATTTTCTATTATATTATATTCTGTATTCGACATTGAAATAATAAATGATAAAGTATCTTTTTTTTCTATAGTACTGCACATTTTACACCCAAGCGTTTCAGTTAGTTCGTGATATTATGTTACAAATATATAGAAAAATGTCAATACTTGAAAAATTAAAACATTAAATAATAATAATATTAAATGGCTAGCGAACCCAAAGGTTCAATTCCAACACCACTGACCGCTGTTTACACACCTCCCTCCACCTGTTGCTGTTCAAACCCAGCACTGCCAGATCAGCCTTAACGCAATCTTCTAACCTTCGCTATGACTTGCCCCTCGGACATTTATCAGTCGTCACAGTGCGTATTAACATGGGCTTCATTCATTACTAAGCCCAATAATCTTACACACCCATTTTATTCGTCTCAACTTAATCATCTTAATTATATTAACCGGGTACATTTCACGCAATTTGGCGTTGTGTAACCGTATAAATTCTCCAGCTGACTCATCCTTTTTCGGTCAGAATATTTATGTAATTCTATATTTTTAAAAACCTTAAAGTTTCGCTCATCCCTTAATGTAAGCGACCACTTTTCGCACACATAAAGAACTCAACGTTTCGGGACAGGAGATGCGAGTTGCGAGTTAATTCGTTACGTCACAAAAAAAATAGCAAGCATTTTCTGCCTTCAACCTAACCTTTTTATTCTTTTCAATTTTTTTTTTTTCAAGTTATCGTAGACCCTAGATACCTAAATTTTTCAACGCGTTCAAACATATTCTTTTCTTTTCCGAAATTATAACCATATATTTTATCTCATCCGTATTTATTTCGAGTCTCTGTTCTTTACCGGCTTTCATTAACGTCGAGGTATTTATTTTTATAGTTTTCCTATCTTCGTGTAGCAGGATTAAATCATCAGAATAACCAAGCACGCATTGTTTCATCCAAATTCAACCTTTTTCGGTACGCATTACTTTACTAATGGCATGTTCACTAAAACATAAATATAAAAACTAATTTTTTTTTCAGCAATGCCATCGTGTGGTAGATGTAGTCTCCTCTGCATTGGAGCGCGGAATGTACTGCACGGGAGTCTTTCTCGACGTTGAACAGGCGTTTGATAGAGTCTGGCATCCGGGACTGATGTACAAACTCCGTGAATTCCTACCACCTACATACTTCCTCATTATACGTTCCTACCTTACTGACAGATACTTCAAAGTCAATCATAACAATGCTTATTCATCTCTTTTTACTCAGTCTGCCGGTGTTCCTCAAGGTAGTATCCTAGGTCCTATCCTTTACACAGTTTATACAGCTGACATCCCAACCCAATCCAACACTGTCATCACCACCTATGCCGATGACACGTGTATCCTATCAGTTAATAACGATCCTTTAATTGCATCCCAAACTCTTCAATCACATATCACAAGTCTTGAAGAATGGTGTAAAAATTGGAGAATAAAAATAAATTCCAACAAATCCCATCAAATCACTTTTACCCTCCATCGTAAACCTATGACCTCTTGTCCTACAGTATCCTTCAATAATACTCCACTTATTCCTGTTGAGCAAATCCGCTACTTAGGACTCCACCTTGACAAACGACTCACTTGGAACCCCCATACCAGACTGAAACGACTAGAAACCGCCCGACGTTTTCGACTACTGCAGCACTTACTAGACAAACGATCTAAGCTTTCAATCAATTATAAACGACTCGTATATATGACAATAATAAGACCTATTTGGACTTACGGAATTGAGCTTTGGGGCTCCACTAAACCATCGAATTCCTCTCGTATCCAATCCTTACAATCCAAAATCCTTCGTAAAATCCTCAACGCTCCTTACTTTGTCACAAATAAAATCATCCATAAAGACCTTAATGTTCCATATGTTTCCGATCTGGCCCAATCCAGATACCTTTCCTTCCATAACAAACTGCAGAATCATCCGAATCCTCTCGTTTCAAACCTTGCTTCCTCCTCGATCCCTGATAACCCTCCGAAGCGTCTGAAAAGAAGATGGCCTCGGGATCTTCTAATATAGAACTTTAATTTGAGTTCTACCAATGTGTAGTTTCTCTTCATGTTGTACATGCCATGTTACAAATTTCTCATTTACTTATTGTATTCTCTATGTAATACAGTTGTAAATTCCATTAAAATAATAAAAAAAAAAAAAAAAAAAAAATTTTAAGACAAAAACCCTATCCATAATAATAGTGCTTGCTACAGACACCGTTTTATCAAATTATTAACATCCACCTAAATCTTCTTGAATAGCTTGTAGGCCGCATTTTTTCTCGATTTTCTGTTCATATTATCTTACGATTCAATTGGAAACCAAATGGGTATTTACGAGTTTTTAGTACCTAATTAAAAAGGAAAAAGTTTGCCGACCTCCAGATTAAAAATAATCCAATACCGAGGATTTCCATAAATAAAATATTTGTAGGTTACGATGAGATGAAGTTTCAGAATTTACGAAATTTCAGACCGATGTTGATAATTTGATAAACAGGAGTTTGTACCTCGAACCATAACAGAATGTTCTTGAATATTCACTTTAACACCTTTGTAAATTAGCTGGAAATCCATGTGGAACGAGAGCACTCCGAGCAAATTGAAAGAAATAAAGAAAATAGTAAAATCATTGTCCACCTCGAACCACTCTATTCGTAGAGAGGAGGTTGCCTTGGCGAGATTAAGTATAGGATATACGAGCCTGACACATTCTTACCTGATAAATAAGGAGCCAACACCGAATTGCCAACACTGCAACAGTATTCTCACAATCAGCCACATTTTTGTCCCTATTAAGTATGAATCTTAGCCAAATCAGAACTCGTACCAACACAATGAGATATTTTAAATAATGATGAAGTTAAAGTAAGGTCGGTGATAATTTTTTTTTAAAGTCAATGATTTGCAACTCTAATTAAATAAACAAAATGAATTTTTTTTATTTCATACACTGCTACAGTATTCTCACAGTCAGCCACATTTTTTCATGAGTGTACCTATTACATATCAATCTTAGCCAAATCAGTAATCGTACCAAAACAATTAGATATTTTATATAATGATGAAGTAAATCTAAGGTCCGCGATAAATTTTCTAAAATTCAATGATTTGTTAATCAAAATCTAATTTTTTTATTTAATTTTTTTTTTGATAATTTAGTATTGAAGTAATAGAAACAAAGAATAGACAGGCGTTGATGATCTCAGGGTTTTACCCCTCTAAGCCCTAAACAACAGAAATAATAACCTTTGTAATTATTTTAGAAATTTGACTACTCCGAACACTTGGTGCAACATCCGGAACTTAGAAAGTGGGAGGCAAACTACTACACCAAAGTTTAAATATTCGAAAACCCTATTTTCTCAAACAATCTTCGAAGATGGTTAAATACTTTTTTTTAAATTTATTTATTTCGACATATAATATTATAATATAATATAATATCTCGAGGACAATAATTATAGTGCTAAATGAACACATTCACACCATATATACAAAAAATATAAAGTTAACAAAAGTAAATAATGATAAATAAAAACTATGTAAAATAAAATGAATAAAATAACCTAAATATGGTTAAATACTATGGACATGTTTTAAAGCTCAGACCATTCTAAAACCCATCGAAGGAAGCAATCGATTGTATCACAGCTGTTCAACAGCTTTTGGGGTAGATGTATCCACTGTACATAACCTCAGTGTTTTTTATTTTCCAATTCACTTCACATATTCATATTCAGTTTACTTTCTATCTCCATTTATTTATATTTTTGAATTTAAATAGTTCAAGGCAGATATTTCCTTATACAGTCGCGGTCATGGACATAGTATCACCCAGTAAAAATTGTATTTTATTTACCAGAATACAACTACAAGATCTCCGAATATATCTTTGCCAGATATAAAACGATATTCTAAAATAATAGTACCGTTAAGTGGTCAAATTGTTGTTTTCTGTTCCCATCTTCTTCTTTCACTCCATGGTGCTTTTTTTCTTCTCAAAACTATGACTACATTTGATTGGTGGCACCTTATTCTCGTTACTATTTTCCTTGAAAATACCGTTACTTCTTGTAACGTTACAATTTTAATGGGTTTTTTACGAGGACAGTTTTTAATTCAGGTCATGATTACAGCTTTTATCCTAATATAAGTTAATAAGAAACCGAGAAATATAGTTAAAATTTTTTTGTAACCTTAATAAGTAAAGAAAAACATTTAATATAATCAACATTATCAGAAAAAAAGAAATAAGTGATACAATTTCTATGACCGTGACTGTATATTTTTTTTTTATTTTTCATGTATTTGTAACATTCTAAAAGTGTTAACATTCCACAGATCGTTTCTAAACTAAGCATAAATCTTTGTTCTTTTGTTTGAATTTAATCCCTTACATTTTATGGAATCTATCGATGAAGTTAGTGCTGGGTTTATTTTCAAGTATATGTAGATTTTGGTTATTTATATTAGTATAAAAATAGTATTAATTCTTAACCATTCAAAGCTGGACATTAAATACAGTATTATCTGTTGTTTTTTGTTTTCAGTCTATATATTTTTTTTAAGTGTTTAACTAAAGTCAAAGGATGAGGTATTGGTAAATAAATATAAGGTATGGATATTTTTAAGAAACATTTAATAAAAACAATACTTTTAAAAATCGTATACAGATCATTTTTATTAAAAAATAATTTAAGGCTAAAAAAATACAAAAATTATAAGTAGTTGTACTAGCTACACAACAAAGTAAAATATTATGGTAAGTATAAATGCGATCCTTCCAATAACAAGAATGAGGAACATATTTAACTGTATAATACTGAAAGGACTAGGTATATAGCTAGCTGCATATTATTATATTATATCGGCGTGTACAGTGCACTCTTGTTTGTAAAATAATAAAATTATATTATATACTTCATTATTCTTACAAGTTACAACAAGAAGAGAGCATAATAATGACTAGAAAGAGGAACGTCATTCTAGAGACAAATCTAATAATGAACACATTGGATCTGAGCTTAGTATACACACAGCCGACAATATAATTAATGGAGAACACTGAACACGAGAAACATACCTATACATTATGGCACCTCAAAATCTTAGTGATGTTACGAGATATTAATCACTAAAAGCTAATTAACAATATTATAACAAAACTAAACATAGAATAACAATCATTCACCACATAAGTTAAAAAGAAAATTAATAATAAACAAAAAATCAGTCTTATAGACTCGTCCTTGTTTAAATAATGGAGAATCATAATTTTTTCGGACGAAATTTAGGAAGACGAGGAACTGTTTTGGAGGGTGTGCTTTAGAGTGATCCAGCAGGCCTCAATCCTTGGCAGGTGTTGAGGAACTCGTGAGGAGAATCCTGGAGCGGTCTCTGGACAAGAGATACTTCGAAAGGAAGAGGAGTTAAAGTTGCTCCAGTTGTGGCTTCCAGAGTAGGAAGACCGCTGTCCTCGCCTGCCTTCCGGAGGTGGAAGGTGTGCATCAAAGATGAGAAGAACTCGAAGAGTTCCATCCTGGCGAGAACGTCTCCTAGACACATTCTCCTTCCTAGAAGACAAAAAAAATGTTAGAATTTTTATTTCAAGAAAAATTATATAAAAAGAAAAAAATGAATAGAGAACTCACCAACTCCGAAAGGCATGAAATATTCAGGTTTGCAGACTTTTCCTTCCTGATTGAGGAATCTTTCTGGTTTGAAGGCTTTTGGCTCATCCCAGAGATTTGGGTCCATGTGCACTGCATGAAGAAGAGGGACTACGTGTGCGTTTTCCGGTATCGTATATCCGCCTAATTTTGTCTCTCTGTTAAAAAAAATATATATATTATTATATTGTCAATATTTATATAAATATTTATGAAGATTAGTTAAGAATGGTACTCACTGATGAATCGAATGAGTGGTTCCCAAAGGTACGACTGAAGATATCCGGAGAACTTCGAGAATGACGGCTTCTGTGTAAGGAAGATAAGGTCTGTCTTCTAGCTTAGGAAGTCTGTTGCGACCAACAACTCTGTCCAGTTCTTCTTGGATCTTGCTGGCCACTTCTGGTTCGTGGATCATATACAAGACAGCCCAGAGAAGGGTTGTCTTGATGGTCTCCATGCCAGCGCTGAAGAGATCTCCGATGATCTGCTGCATCTGTCTGTCGTGTTCCTTTCCTTGGAAAAGTTCCTCGGATCGTCCTGTCGCTTTAGCGTCTTCGATCTCCATGAGGTAGTTATCGATTAGATCGCGCATATTATGAGAATCGAAAGTGGCGCGGTGGTCATCCACTGTCTCTTGAAAGAATGCTGCCATCTCTGTACGGTTCTATTTATAGAAGAAAAAAAATCAAATTAAACACTAAATAATAAAATAACTTAAAATTCAATAATAATTACAAATATTTCTCTCAATGTACCTTTGCGATTTTCTTGATTACTTCTTGAAGTCCTGGTAAATAGCGCATGATAGGGAAGAAGTTGGCATAGTTTAAGGACCCGAAGAGCCTGAATCCTTCTGCAATGAGGTTCATGAACCTTGTGAACTTGGCGTCCTTCTGCTTGAAGCGGACGCTCATGACCAAAGAGCAAATGACGTTACTGATTGAGGTGCAAAGGATCGGGTTCAAATCGGTCGAGTTGTTTCTTTCCTTGCTCAGGGTGTGGAGGAACACTTCTACTTCTTTCTGTTAAAAAAAAAATGATACTTTAATATTTAAAAATTAAAATATTAAAAAATAATTTAACTTCAAAAAAACAGTTTTAAGGATATTTACCATTATTCTAGCCTCCATTTCGTGTTTTCCTTGTCCTGAATATGTCATCCCCAAGCGACGTAGCTTGTCATGAAGGAATTTCCTCTGTTCCTTCCATAGTCTTCCGTCACTGTTTATTATTCCTGAAATAAAATTAATCTCGTTAAAAATTTGAAGGATTCCTAATTTCTGACAGGACATGTTATATATCGTACAGTCTAGCACTAGGAAGTTGCGAAATGATCCTTGAGGATACGTCCGAATAAGGATAACATGAGTCAGATGGTCCAAGAGTCTCGTTTGGGCGCCACCGGTTCATTATATGTCATTATGGATCCTGGTAATTATCCCACTTTCTAGATTGCTACTGGCGAGACATTGTCACCTAGTTTACGCGGCACCCGTTCTTAATTAGACACGAAAATTTTTCCAAAACTTCAATATAAAAAAAATTCACTTTTATTTATTTCAATATTAAAAAAAAAAAACTATGTAAAAATAAAATAAAAAAAAACATATCGAGTACAGTTTTTTATTCAATTTAAATAAAAAATAAACGTGGGTACGAAGTCTTAAACTTATAAAATTTATCGAAAATGTTTACTTTTAGATACGAAACACTAGAATAAAAATATATTTATTAAAAAAAATATTTAAAAAATCTAAAAAAAAAAAATATTACTTCATGTTAGAGAAAAACATTAAGAAGATCGTACTATTTCATTGACTCTGTTAAGGCTTTCGATGACTCATGGTTTCGGAATAACTTTTAAATCATTGTCTAGGTCAACAGCAATGATTTTTTTTTTCGTTTAGTAATATTTTATTTTTGTTAATTATTATTATTTAATAAAAAATAAAAGAAATTCGATTTTTATAAAATAAAGCAACTCTTCTATTGATAAATTATTTATTTATTTTTCCAAGTTCGAGTTCCTGGCCCATCTTCGAGAAGAATTTATTCTAGTTTATATCAACTATTATATATAATCAACAAATATTTTTGTATTAAATTTGTGCATGGTTAACATTTTATCATTGATTCAAAAATACATTTTATGTTATTATGAGATGCATGATAAAATTTTAAATATAAACTGGCTGTATGTTTGAACATTGTTGATCATACTCTTAAATGATACAGAGATGTTTGTTTGAGAATATTTTTGATCACATATATACATTATATGAGAAGGAGTTGATCAGAGGGTGCGGTCAAATAAATACTAAATTATACAAATAGTATTATTTAATTATTTGTATAATTTAGTATTTATTTAACCGCACACCCCGATCAACTCTTTCTTATATTATATCACGGTCAACCATCTCTACATCATTATATAAATATTATAGTTAACATTATACAGAATAAATCGTCCTCGAAGATAAATCCAAAATTGATAAATAAACTATTTGTCAATGGAAAAGATTTTTTATTTATTTTTATATATAAAAATCACCCCAAAAATATTTATAAATTATTTTTTAAAAAATAGAAAAATGTTTATATATTTTGTGGAACTAAATTTAAAGGTTTTGAATATTTAAAAAAAAAATTTATAAGATTTTCGTAATTTTATTATTTGAATATTGCAATTACCGTATCCTCCTAGTATGTTGGTGAATTCCGTATCCGGTCTTCCGGTGAAGTCCTCCCTCCGGAAGGCTTCCCGGATCAGCTTGTAGTCCGATAGTATAACGACGAACTGGTTGCCCAAGGAGAGGCTGAAGATTCCGCCGTACTTTTTGGCCATTTGGGCGAAATGTACGTGTGCCTCCGGCTTGAGGAAGGGCAGATAGCCCAATAAGGGCAGACCCCATGGTCCAGGCGGCAAAGTCCTGATCCTGGACAAGAGTGCCCAAAGACGTCGGCCGAAGAAGAAGACGATGAAGAAGACGGCCAGAGACCTAAGCTCGAGGAGCATCTTGACGTGGTACATGCTCTACTGCGGCCCGGGGACCGAAAGCCCACTCTATATAGCGATCCCGGTGGTGGGGAAGAGCCCTGGTGGGGAACTCCTTGTTCTCAGTACGCTACTCGCTCCATGCTACTTCGCTTCTTTTTCTATTTGCTATTGCCTCTACTTCGTCCGTGTCTTTCTTGTCGGTTATATGGCCTCTTACACTTTGTCTACTATGTATAATTTTTTTTTTTTTTTTTTTATTTCACCTAACAGTTCTTCCCCCGGCGAGCTCAGTATACAACTTCTTCCATTGTTGTTCTCTATTCGAAATTTAAAATCGCGAATTTCATCTCTATATATATATATATTTACTATTATCAGTACTTCAAATTATATATTTATTTATAAACAAATAATATGAAAAATTGTGTTTATTTAAGGATACTATCCTCGTTGGAGTTCGATGACCTCCTGCATCAGTGTTAGGTATTTGACTACGGCTTTCTAATTTCGATCGAAATTCCGGTCCCTAGTGTTCTTCGCTATACAAATTATTTTTATATAATAATTATAATAAATAAAAATCGTTTCATTCATAAATTTATGTGAATTATTTTTCTTTACTGTATCTACTTCTAATTACCATTTAACTGAATTGGAATTTACTCATTGAAGGTAGGTGGTTTATATTGATTTTATTAATTTTAAAATAAAAACGGTTTTTAACATTTTTTTGTTTTTAATTTTGTTCATTGTTTTTATTATTTCTATGACCGTGACTGTATATATATATTTTTTTTTCATGTATTTTTAACATTCTAGAACTTTCCACAGATCGTTTCTAAACTAAGCGTTAACCGTTGTTCTTTGAATTTGTTTGAATTTAATTCCTGTTATATGATAGATTCCATCGATGAAATCAATGCTGAGCTCTAATTTTTATATAATTTATTCTTTTATTCAATTGAGTTAATTTTCAAGTGTATGTAGATTTTGGTTATTTATATTAGTATAAAAATAGTATTAATTCTTGATCGTTCAATCGATGTTAATAGATTCCATTGAATGCATGGCTGTTATTTCGTTTTTATATCATTATATTTTTGGTGCATTGATTTAATTGTAAATCGGTATTGTAACTAGAAAAAAATACAATTTAAAAAAAATACATTCTACGCCGAAATTCATCTTTTTCAAATAGCAACAAAATTTTATTTTATTTTTTTATATCTTTTAGTTTAAAACAAAATCTGGTCTCAAAATTAAGTATTTTAAATTATGAATTACTTCGACAACAATGCACTCAACATACTATTTTACATTTTTTATTTGAACAAAACAATGCATTTATTAAAAAATATATATATATTGCAATATTTCAATGTTTATAGTAATTTTCCAAACAAATTTTTTTAACTCCAAAATATTAATAATATTCGATTAATAATCGAAAAAAAAAATTCAGTTTTTCTCTTCGATAATGTTTCTCACAAAATACATGTGTTTTAAATTCGCCTCCCTGGATTTAAGTGTAGTTGTTTAGGCTTAATAGGAAACAAATTATGTTTATTTAAAAAGTTTTTATTTGTTTATTATTTTTTCACAGTTATCAATCCGAACCAAGTTGTGAAATAGTTCATTCAAATTTAAATATACTTCTTAAAATAATAAATTAAAGCTTGAACTATAGATATGAAAATAACTACTGTCCGTGTAAATATGTCGATTTCCGATCCCTTCTTATTATTTTTTATTTATTAATTTATTTTTATTTATTTACTTTTCGTTTATGCTTTATTCTTGCCTTGTTCATTAGTGTTATAATAAATTTAAAATACCATTCATTCTATTGTTTATGCATCAGCAACTGTTTACGTGAGAAACCAGAGTGAAGTTCTGTGTAAAGAGGCTGAAAGAAACTTATAGTTCCCTTAATAGTTGAAATAATAAAAAAAAAAAAAGTATAATTTTTGCGTTTTATTAGATCATATCTCTCCAATAATAATTAATCAAATAATAAATATTATTAAAATTTTAAATTTCTTTAATAAATTATTATTATTATTTTAAAAAATATATAAAGTATTGAATTATATTTTTTTATTTTTTACTGTAACAAATTATTAACCACACTAAGAATTTCAAATTTAAATATAATCAGTAACCGTTATTTAAATAACTATTAAAAATAAAACTAATAATATTTATTTATTAGTAGTTTTGTTTACACATTTATTCTGGTTTTATTTACACAATTTTAAAAAATATCCAAAAAAATACGTAAACTCTTACCGCATTCCGGAACTTAACGGCGACCGAAATGTGTTTATCACAGCTTTAGTCTGTAGCTCTCTTTTTTCATCAAAACAATTTAATCAAAAGGGGAAAAGTGTGAAGTGTAACGTTTGCGATTATAATCCACTAACGAGATAAGACTTGATAATTGTTAAAATGACTCATAGCGATTTAACTGTGTTACTGAATATAATATATATATATATATATATATATATATATATATATATATATATATATATATATATATATATATAATTATATTAAATAATATAATGGTATTTAGCTAAAATCTGGCGAAAGCTTTGGAGTGGTGGCTTACTCACCGTATCACAGATAAACTGATGACTTTAAGAAATAAAAAAAAATACATAAGCTTTGTTTCATTTTTAAAAAATATTTAATAAAAAAAATTTATATTTATAATTCGAGATTTGTTGAAAAAAAATTAACTTCTTATATTTAACAGAACAGTGCACAGCTATTTTTTTTCTGTGTTCTAATTAAGAGAAACTATTAAACTTATTTAAACAATATGTAACAGCCTTAAATTTTGTTTAACACTACAATAATTAAAATAATCTTAATTTTCCTCTACAACAACAATGCGGTAAAAATACCTAATTCATATATTCCTTATATTCTTATAGTGTCCTTAATCTCATAGAGAAAAAAAAGGTTATATTTCAATATATTTTTATTTAGATTTTTCTTTTTCTGTTTTTTTTTATAAATATAATTACTTCAACTAGAATTGTTTTATATCTGACAAGTAGTACCAATATTATTTAAATATTATATTATAAATATTAATTCTTGTTCAAATATGAAAAAAGCAGTTATTTTTAAGATTATCTTCTCCTTCAGGTGGAAAATACAACCACTTCCCTCATCAAAGGAACAAAAGTTATGAATAAAAAAAAACATTATTTTCTTTAAACTTTAAATTTTAAACTTTTATTATGATATTTACAACTGTATTAGTATGAATACATCAAGTAAATGTGTACATAGGAATATTATCACATGAAACACGCTCGTTAAGAAAGTACCCATTGGTAGCACTCTAATTCTCTAAACTTAAAAAAGTATTCCATTTTTAGTAAATTCTGTATTAACTGAAAAAAAAATATTTATCGAAATGAGACCATTTTTTAGTAAATATACAGCCAATATTTTGGTTTATTATTTTGAATGAACTATTCAAATGCACTAAATAAAATAAAATTTCTCCCTCTCATAATATATTGCACTTATTTCTTCCCCC